CGCTTGCCGAGACAGGCGCAGCAGAAGACCACCCCCACGGCCTTCTTCCACTGGAGCAGCCTGCTGTCTTGCATAACCCGATTCATCTCTCCCGGAGCCGATGCTCTTCCGTGGCTTCCACCCGACGCCTTCCCAGGGTTCCCCCACCCCGTTCCTGCAGCTCTTGGGCTAAATCCCAGTGCCCTCCACGTGGCTTTCACAGGCTGCCTCCCCCCTCCTTTCCTCTTCCCCTCTTTAATTGGCAAACGGCCCCATTAACAAGGGCGGGCTCCGGGGGCCCAAGCTTTACTGCCATCCGCCCAGCTCCAGTCCCAGTTCCGAAATGACTCAGCTGGCAGCCGAGCGGGCAGCTCCCTTCCAGCCCTGCACGCACGCAGCCGCAGCGAGGGCCCCGTACACTTCACACTTGTGTGATGACAGGGCTGGATGTTTCAAATAGTGACAAGACCAGCGCTGAGCCGGGACCTCCCCCCGCTCCGGCTCGCCGGCCTCGGCACCTGCCTGCCCCTGGGCTCCCTTCCTTCTCCCTTCACAACCAGAATAAAGGAGAAGCCAGTTGTTCCGTTGCACGCTGGAATTCCCATGTGCTGACGTGTGGAGCAGCACTTACCCCCGGATCCGCAGACTCCACCTGGTGCCAAGCCATGTCATGAGCTATTTCTGTCCGCCGGAGGGTGAAGGGAGGCAGGACGTAAGCACTCAGGTATTCCTCGCTGGCAGGAAACCCTGGACTCTGCCGCAGACTGGAAGTGGCACATTGAAGAGCAGTGGGGGCAGGGAGGCACCATAGGGCACCTGCTGCTTGCATATGGGGCTACCAATCAGTGTCAGCCTGGTTTTTCCAGCACCCTGGACCCAAGGGCCTCCTGGCACCTTCAGCCTGCTGCCGAACATATTGGCTGCCAGCGCTGCCTCCCTGCCTTCTACAGAGCGCTGTGGCAAGGAAAGGGTTAATGACATCACCACTCTCCTCTGGTACCTCACCCTGCCCTGCGTGGGGCTTTAATTTATACCAAGGGCAGCTGCACTCCAGTGGGGTGGCCCCCTCCAGCCATTGTGCTGACACGGGGTGCTGGGGAGCTGGGGTAAGCTCGGGGGGTGCACACTGGTTTGTACCTTGGCTTTGCAGGACACTGATCCTGGCTCAGGACAGACCCAGGGACCAGCGGATCAAGGTCTCACGTAGGGTTGATCTAAACCCTGGAGATCATGGTGAAACCCAAGTGCAGTGGGCCAGCAGCATAGCTCATTCCCCTCACTCTCGGGGAGGGGCAAGGCCTCCCTTGACACCTCCCGTCCCTCCACCTGCTCAAGTGAGGTATAAAATCTGGGGCCTGGGCCTGGGAGCATGAGGCGGGCTAGGGGGTACAGCAGCACCCTCTGGTTTCAAGTAAGAGTAGCAACCGAATGCGGGGCTCCCGCCATGTACAGGGTTTAGGGTTTTGTTCAGTGGCTTTCAGCAGCCACACCATACAAATTGTTCCAGCCCCGTCCCTGACAAGCTCTGCTGCCCCCGGTGCCATGGGTGAGAAACGCCAGGGCCACTGCTTTGCTGTTTTCTCTCCTCTGGCTTTATAATCTCAGAGCTGGATCTGCAACTCCAGGTGCCACCACAGATTTACCAACCTGCAGGGCGAGAGAGGGGTGGATTCTCCATCCCATGGCGCTTCCAACACTGGATGCCTTTCTGGAAGGTGTTTAGCCAAATGATTGGGCTCAGTTTAGGGGTAACTGGGTGAGATTCTCTGGCCTCTCTTATGCAGGGGTCAGACGAGATGATCAAACGGTCCCTTCTGGCTTTCAGATCTATGCACCTATGGACAATGTCACCATCTCCGCACCCTGTATAACGGACCATCTGCACAGAGCAGGGTATCTTCGGCCTGTTGTAACACAACTCCACCTACTCCAGAGGCAAACGGCAGGCCAGCTGATGCAGGCCGTGGCTTGAAGAATCTGCCCCGGCCGCTGGTTTTAAAAGTTTAGCTGGATTCCTCCTTACCTTCCGCCTTTTGCATCGTGCACAATTGCTACTTGAGGCAGCTTCCTCCCACACCCAGCAGAACCTATGTTTAGTGCAAAATAAATCTGGCCTCGATGCTGCCTTGCTGTGGAGATTTCACGCACCCACAGAACAGGAGGCATTAGGGTGAGAGAGAGGTGAGTGTGACGGGGATCCCCGGGGTGCAGCCTGGGACCGTGGGTCCTCTATGTCCCCTTAATTCTTCAGCCTGGGCTGTTTTTCACAATGCTTTGCTAGTGACCAGCATAGGGTGACTAGACAGCAAGTGTGAAAAATCGGGACAAAGTGTGGGGGGGTAATAGGAGCCTATATAAGAAAAAGTCCCCAAAATTGGGACTGTCCCTATAAAATCAGGACATCTGGTCACCCTAGACCAGCAGCAAACCCTGTCAGGCGCTGGGATCACTCAGAACAACCACATGTGGAGCTCCACACCCAGCTAGATTGCATGAATGCTGCCAGAGCCACTCATGAATCACACAGAGAAAGGCACCAGCCAAATCCCCCCAGCTCCCAGCCTTGTATCTCAGGAATATACCGTCCTGCACTGCTCAAGACAAGCAGTGCAAATTTATTAATTGGTTCACCACTTCATCAATGGAAAGTGGAGATACACCAGCCTTCGCAAAACCTGAGCAGGTTTGCCACACACTTCATACAAACTCACTGGTAAAGATAAATAGTACAAGAAGTTTATTGCCCCCCAAAAAGGTAGATTTTAAGTGATTATATGGGATAGGCAAAAAGTCAGAGTTAGTTACCAAAATAAATAAAATATAAGCACGCAGTCTAAACTCTCAACCCTATTAAACTGGGCAACATCTAGATTAAGCAGTTTTTCTCACCCACTGGATATTGCAGTCCTTAATATACAGGTTTGTCCCTTAAACCTGGGCTAGGCTCCTCTGTTGGAGTCTTCAGTCTTCTCAGTGTCTTTGTGGCTTGCGGCATAGGTGGGGGGCAGGAGAAAGGCCCAGCATGTGGCCAGTGCCAATGTGTTCTGTTTTATTATCTTAGTTCACGTGCTTGGAGAACACAAGTTCGGGCACGTCTTGTGGGCCTTGCTTGTGGGCCAGGCAAGGTTGAGGAATTCCCCTGGTGTGGCCTTATGCAGGTGAGTCATTGCATTGTAGCTCCCTTGCTGGACAATGGCTGGTGATTTCTGTTCAGCGGGTTACCTCCCTTGTCATTGTCTCTGGAGAGCTAGTATCTGGGTATCTCCCAAACCCACAGCATATTTTAGTGACAACCATACAGGACATTCTCATAACCTCATGAATTGATGATATACATATTTAGATGGAACAATAGGTTTCAGCCGATCATAACCTTTCCCCTGATACCTCACATGGCCTGCTTTATATGCAAGATCACAATGATATATAAATGAGGACTATGGAGGTTACAGGGTGCTCCCCGTGGTATAGAATGTCACAGTAAGAGAATCCAGATGTGCTCAGATGGCAGGCCTGGTGAGCATTTCAAACTCAGCCTTTATTCCACAACAAACTTTGTACTGTAGATAGGGAGAGGTCTCCAGCCTTCGGCAAACACCAGCAGATTTCACAAGCAAGGAGTACCTGGCTAGGCTCCTCCCACTGCATTCAGGGGAAACTGAAACTTAAGCTCTTTGCAGGGAAGAACGGGGAACCAGGACTTGTCCCAGCGCCAGTGGGGCTGGGCTTTGCAGTACGTTGCTTCCTGTGCAGCTCGGACAGCTGTTGCCTTGAGGAAGTGCAACCCTGCTGGAGTGCTGGCAGATCCAGTTGTGGGGAAACACCACCGCTAAATTCCCATCAGTGCAGCTGAAGCAGCAGAGGGAAGGAGGGCAGTGGCTCTGCCATGGAGGCGCCTCAGAGGCACCCAGTGGAGCAGAGTGGTGGCAAAGAAATGGAAGACGTGGTCTGTAACTTCCTGGAAGCTCAGGAGGGTGTGGAAAAGCTCTGTTGCTCCTACAAGAAAAGGATCCAGGCTACTCAGAGTGGCCTGCAGTCCCTTCAGGAGGAGGTGATGGAGGACTTCCGGAAGATGCACAGCTTCCTGTATGCTGAGGAGCAATCTGTGATGGCCAAGATTGGCCAAGAAGAGAAGCAGGTACTCAGCGGCCTGGAGGACAGGGTGACGGAGATCACCAAGAGAGCAGCTTGTGTTCTGGAGCTAATGGATTACCTGAGTGAGGTGGAGGACCATGATGGGCACCTAATGGGTATGGCTGATAGCCAGGTGGATCATCTAAAGACAGAGCTGACCAGGCACAACATGGAGCTGAGACACTTCAGGCCCACGGTCCTCTCCAGCCCTTCTCTGACATACGTGGTTTGCAGAAGGATGCTGGGGTATGTGATGCGGTCTGCACTGGAGCGCCTCACCCTGGACCCTAAGACAGCCCATTCGCACCTGCAGCTCTCTGAGGACCTGAAATCGGCAAAACTGGGACCCGGCGCCCAGGCTGTCCTGGAGAGCCCCCAGCGCTTTGAGCCATGTCTTTATGTCCTCTGCTCTCAGGATTTCCGCTCAGGCAGGCACTATTGGGAGGTGAGCGTTGGGGGCAAAAGCAACTGGGTGATTGGGGTAGCCAGCCACTGTGTCAACCGCAAGGCAACGGAAGATCTCAACCCTGAAAATGGGTACTGGGCCCTTCGGAAGATATCAGGCAACCGTTACTATGCCCTGTCCTCACCCCCAGCCCTCCTGACCCTGGATTCCAGCCCCACAAAGGTGGGCATTTGCCTGGACTATGAGAGCGGCAGGGTTGGGTTTTATGATGCCGAGTGCATGGCAGAGATCTGCACCCTCAGGGGCAACTTCCAGGAGCCATTGCACCCTTTCTTCTGCCCCGGCCTGGTGCTTGCCGAGCAGGACTATGAGCCTCTCCGGGTGTGCAATTAGAGCAGGGAGAGGGAGAGCTGGCAAAGAGACCTCTGCCATCCTGGTTCCCTAAGCAAATGGGGGGTCTGGATTGGCTGAGAAGTAAACTATGAAGTGAAGGTATCAAATCACTGAAAGGAAAGAGGAGGAATAAACTAAGTGCAACTCTGTGACATCTGGGAGTGTTTCATTTGTGTGGGGTTTGGGGTGTGAGTAGGATCCCTGGATTTCCTTGTGTAGCTCCTGCATCATCTGCAGTGATGTCCCATAGCCCCCTGTCCCCAATCTCTGTCCTGATGTGACAAATGAGCTTGTGGTGGTATCGCTGACCTGACAGATTCCAGGATCCTGAATCAGGCCCCCAAAGATGATGAGATTGGCTTAAAAAGCACGAGATTTAAAAACAAAACAACTTTGGGCGTTGTTTAATCTCTCTTCCAGCAGCGTGGCCTTTAGGGGCCATGTTTAGCTGCTCTCCACAGCCACGGGGGCTAGAAACATACTCTTTTTTTTTTTTTTTTAACTGAAAGCTGAGATTCTCGCAGTATCAGTTGACTCTAGGAGCTGGGCCTTGAAGAAAAACCACCAAATACTGTAAAATCGCAACCAATGGCCAAGCTAATGTCATTGCTGGAGGTAGCAAAATATTTCCTGGGGCTTGTATGCATTAGGGAAATTCAAATGGATGTCCTGAGGTGGACGCACTCACGCCAGTGCACATCCCTACCAGAGGGGCTACAAGTGGGTTAAAGTTTATCATGGAAAAAATGGTTCTTGGAAAGACGGGACAATTTGGTATGGTTGCCAACTTTCTAATTGCACAAAACCGAACACCCTAGCCCCGCCTCTTCCCCAAGGCCTCGCCCCCTTCACCGCCTCTTCCCGGAGGCCCCACCCCCTACTCACTACATTTCCCCTCCCTCAGTGGCTCGCTCTCCCCCACCCTCACTCACTTTCACTGGGCTGGGGCAGGGGGTTGGGGTGCAGGAGGGGGTGAGGGCTCTAGCTTGGGGGGTGGGCTCTGGGGTGGGGCCAGAAATGAGGGGTTCAGGGTGTGGGAGGGGGCTCCGGGCTGGGGTAGGGGGTTGGGGTGCAGGAGGGGGTGAGGGCTCTGGCTGGGGGTGCGGGCTCTGGGGTGGGGCTGGGGATGAG